TTATCGCAGCTGAAAGGTAGCTCAGGCATTACTGCCCCAGCAGAAGACCAGAGTTTGAATCCCAGTGCCCACAGTGCCAGGGGATTCTTCTGGTCTCCATGCACACACACACACACACACACACACACGCACACGCACACGCACACGCACACGCACACGCACACGCACACATGTATGCACACACGCGCGCACATGTGTGTATGAATAAAAGTAAAATAAAATAATAAAAAAAACATTATTAACACTTGAGTGCTGCCAGAAGAATCAGAACAAGCTATTAATCTGCCAGGACCATTAAAACTGGAGACCCAGGGGTTCAAACAAGTCAAGGTGAAATGTGTTTAAGGTGGATTTCCCTCTCTAAAGGCAAGTCAAACAATGAGCAAACTGTGTTTAGCAAAAGGCCAGCTATTGCAGTCTACATAGGTTCTTTTGTTCACACTCTTTTGTAGTGAGTCTTTCTCTGTCCCTCCAGCCAGCTCCCAAATAACCACACAGAGACTTATTATTAATTATGAAAGCTTGGCCGATAGCTTAGGCTTGTTACTAACTAGCTCTTATAACTTAAATTAACCCATTTCTATTCATCTATGTGCTGCCACGTGGCTCATGGCTTTTGACCTCATCTCCGACATATTATGCTTCTTCCTTATCTCCTTGTGACTCCTCCCTTCTTCCCAGCATCCTCTGTGCCTGGAAATCCTGCCTACCTATTGGTTGTTCAGCTCTCCATCAAATCAACCAGAGTGACACATCCTCACAGAGTACAAAAAGACCACTCCATAACACTCTTTTCTATTATCTTTATTTTATTTATTTTGGTGGTTGAGACAGGTTGTTCTGGAACTCATTCTGTAGACCAGGCTGACCTTGAACTCAGAGTTCTGCCTCCTGAGTGGTGGAATTAAAGGCATGCAACATCACCACGCAGCTTATTTTATTCTTTAACTGTGTTCTACAACTCTTTAAAATCTTAAGAAAATTATTATCCCAAGGGACCATACAAAATTGGTGCAATATGCCCTGCAGCTGTTATTTGCTGGTCTGAGTCTTAGGCCACTAAGACATGAGCCCTGTTTTGCTACTGTGAGCTGAGCAGAAATGAGCCTGGTCAGCATGCCAAGACTTGGGCTTATCTCCTGTAAAATAAACATCCAGGAACCGAACTACAAGTCTGTTGGCTGGGCTGCTTCCTCACAGTGCACATCCATGTCTGCTGGAATTGGTACTTCCAGAGTCACCAGGAAGTCTCTGCTACAACTTTCGAACCTTCTGCACTCTTGAAAAATCCCTTCAGTGTTATGTCAGGGTTGACGTGGGAATCGGGCCCATCCCAAGGAGGCCTGGAGAAATGAGGTAACCTTACTGAGTGTACCTGACATCTCTCTTGTCAACTGGAAAAGGGCATGACTTCCATGAGAACTGCTCCTTTGCCACATGAGACCACGTCATCGTAGTCATCGGTTGTTCTGAGGCGACTTTCCCTCTCCTAGGCTCTGGCACCAGCTCCCTCCATGGTTGGATGGGCAATGTGTGCTCTCCCAATCCCAAATTTAGATGGCCACATCCATCTCTAGGACCTTTCCAGAACTCACCCCAAGCAGCGTTTGCTGGCTGACAGGGCAGCTTGTCTTTCCAATCTCCTGGGCTTGAAGTGAGTGGCAAGTGGATTTACAGTTGCGTTTTTTGTGCATATGAAGCCTAAGAAATGGACAGAGATGTCCGTAAATCCTGAACCCACAGTGAAAGAAGTCCATCTCAGTCTTTTCATGATCGTGGCAGCATCCCCTACTATAGGAGGACCACTGTCCTCAACGTCACAGCATCCATTGCCTCATTCTTTTCTAAAATACTCTTCTTACCCAATTATGTATGAGTTCAGGAAACAGCAATAACTGTTGTCTGTAGCTAGAGTTTTCCTGCCTGGCCCACAGTCAGGACAAATCTTTGTCACC